GGGACCTCGGCGGCGTCCGGGCCGCCCTCTGGGTCGCGGCCTCGGGCGTCTGTCCCCGCGCTCCGGCCGCCGCCGTCACCAGGCCAGGGGCGAGACCATGCCCGAGCTGCGCGTGCCCTCCCCGGCCTGCAGGTCGCTGAGCGCTCGCTGCGGAGGGAGGAGCGCGTGCGCAGGGCCTTGGTCAGTGGTCGCACGAGCCCCCACACCCGTCCTGCCTCATCTCCCCTCGCCAGAGAGCGGCCGAGACCTACCGGCCCCCCCCGGTTGGGGGGGCGCATCACTCACTGGGGGCCCTTTCCCAACCCAGCCTTCAGGAGGACCCCCCACATTTGACCTGTGGCCCCGACTTCTCCTAATGGGCCCCTTAGGTCTCCCCCCGTGGCTCACCTCGAACTTGCTCATGAACTCCGCAAAGATGCCGAAGAAGGCCTCGGAGGTGGTGGCTTTGGAATCCTCGCCGAAAAAGGCCAGCGCCTTGCCCAGCTCCTCCATGGCTTCGCGCTGCAGCCCGTCCAGAGCCCGTAGCACGGGCTGAGCCGTCTCCAGGAAGGACTAGTGGGCCTCTGTTAAGGAAACTGCCGGCCTGCTAGGTGCTCCCACGTTCAGGGGCAGTGACCCAAGACAGCAGCCTAGCTGCCCCACTGCAGTCTGCCCCAGAACTTTTGCTCAGTTAGGAACCATGCCCTCTTCAGAGGCTCCGGTCCCATTGCCCACTGCCCTCCAGGTCCTAAAACCTGCCACTTTCAGTCCAGCCTCAGGCCTTTCACTTGCTCCTCTCTCTGCAGGGCAGCTCTCTTCCCTGATGGCTCTGCTTAGATGCCAACCCCCTCCCCCCTTCCCAACCATCCACTTATAGTAGCTCCCTGTCACTCTCTAGGCTTACTCTTTCTTTCTTTAGTTTCTATAGCATTTGTCACTATCTGTGCTCAGTGGGAATGTTCCCCTCTCCTGACTGGCCTCTCCTTGTATCTTGTGACTTAGGTCTGTGCTTTTCTGCCCATGAGGACAGATGGGGCAAGGCAGTGGCTTTAGGACAGTTGAAAGAGCACCTCCTCAGTTACACAGAGACTTGGCATAAGTGCTTAGATTCTAAACGACCCAAGATGGACCCTCTTCCAGCACCCCTGGGCCCACAGCAGCCTCTGCCCAGAATCTCTGCTAGGACACGAGGTCTGCACTGGCCACGGGAGCCACAGCCAGCTACCTGACCATCCCAGGGTCCACTCGGGCACAGGGACAGGCTGCTCAGAGGATACCGCCATGACCACAGCAAACTTGTCCTCGCTGGAGGGGGACATGCTCTGGCAGGCGGCCTGTATCTCACTGATGGTGCCGTGGAGGTCAGCCAGGTCGCTGGCCAGGGCCCGTTGGTTCACTGGAAGGAGGGGGACAGAAGCCTCATGGGGCCGCCCTCCCAGCCCAAGATGGCAGTGCCTGTGCCTCCCACCCATCCACCCAGCCTACCTTTGGCAGCCAGGGGCACGGTGGGCAGGTCTTGAGCAAAGCCCAGGAGCTCGGGGAAGTGCTGGCTCAGCGATTTGGCAAGGATGTGCAGGAAGGTGGACTTCCCGTCCACTGTCTTGGTGGAGTTCAGCTGCAAGTGACCCCCAACATGTGTCCTCCTCAAGGACCCCATCAGATTCCTGGTCACATGGCCCAGGTACTGTCGGCCCTGCTTCTTCTCCTGGACTGTGGCATTCATTCCTGGCCCTTGACTCTCTCCAACTCCAAAGTTCATAAACTTAGTGCTAGTATTCCCTCCTCTGCAACTTTTATCTGTGGGATGCCTCAGCCCTCCGCATGAGCTGGAGGTTCCCTGGCCCAGATCTTTGAGATCCCCAGCTAGGGGAGACCCCCAGGTTTTCCGGTCCTTGTAAGTTTGCCCTTGTCAGCAGATCTAGCCCAAAAGTCTCTAACCCCAGCAAAGGTGGGGAGCATCGCTCTCAGATCTTCCCTCTTGTGGTTTTCTGGAACCATCTGTGGCCCATCTGAGCCTCAGACATCCTATCTACATTCATATCTACAAATGGAGTTTTTTTTCCTCTTTTTTAAAACAACAAAAAGCACCTTGGGGAAAAGTCCCAGAAACACTGGGGAAGGCTGGGTATTGGAGCTGTCCTTTCTCTCATCCTAGATCTTTCGAGGGCAGGACTGGCCTGACAGTGGTGGTAGTGTTGAGGGCACAGAAGCTACCAGGTGGGACTCTCCCCTTCCTCCTGGAGCCTTCCCTCCCTGCCCTCCCTCAAAGCTTGGCTTGGAGAAGCCACCCCCTCCCCCCTTTGCTGCAGTTACATCCTGGCCTGCAGGCAGCCAGCTCTTCCTCCTGGAGGAAGGGCCCTCCTTGGCCATTGTTTTCTCCTTCCCTCTGCCATGACTTGGGTTAGGCCTGGCCTCCCCAGCATTGATGGTAGAGCAACCTAACTGATTACTGCAGACTGGCCCTCTCACCTCCGTCAGGAAGTTGATCTTGAAGCCTGTGGTCTTGTTGGTTTTGGGCTGTCCATCGTTGAGATAGTTGCCCATGGCCAACACAAACTGTGGAGAGGAAGGTGGGCAGGTTCCGCCCAGGTCCTCACCCCATCCCCACCCCCCTGGCCTGCTATCAGGATGGGTCTCCAGACCAGGAAGCCCCAGGGGCAGACCGGCAGGTACAGTGACCAGACAGGGGGTGTGCCCTGACCTCCAGGATCTTGGCGAGCTTCCGGCTATTCTTGAGCTCGAGGGAGGCCTGGCGCAAGCACTCCAGGCTGCCCCGGATCTCCTCTGTCTTCTCCTGTAGGGTGGCCTGGAAGTGGAGGCTGCGCAGGCGGGTCTTGTATTCGGGAACCGACAGCATCTGCCACGAAGTCAGGGCCAGGATTCATCCATTGCCCTCCGCACCCCCAGGAGACCCACTGCCCCGCCGCAGCTTCGGGCGAGGGTCAGCTGGCTGTCTGGGTCCCGTATTCCCTTAGGAAAAACAAGCACAACCTCTAGGGGGCACCCTTCCCATCTACCTTGGACCTCGGGTGGGAACTGGCCATTAAAGGTGTACAACTGGGACCCAGAGGTGTCAGCGCGGTGGCGGTAGGGGAGCGGGACCTACGCGGCCCCCGGACATAGCGGGAGCCCGGATGGAGGCGGCCAGGCCGGGTCATGGCCGCAGTACCTGCAGGACGAACTGGTCGGGCTCGCTGAGGCGGCCGGGCGCCTCCCGGAAGGCCTGGTAGCGCTGCTCCTCGTCGGCGTCGGGCGCGAAGAGCAGCAGCTGCGCCAGGTGCGCGGGCTCCAGGCGCCGGGGCTCCATGCTCATGAGCACCTGCCGCAGCTCGGCCGGGCTCAGCTTCAGGTGCGCCAGCAGGATGGCTGCGGGCGGGGCCGCGAGGTGAGCCGGGGGCGGGGCCCGGACGGGAGTGGGCGGGGCTTCGAGATTCCCCTGGGCTACTCGGTGGAGCCTGGGAGGGGGACAAGGAACCGAGGCGGGGCAGGAACCGGCCCGGAGATGGAGAGGGTCCCTCCTGCGACCCACTAAAGGGCGAGGGCGGGGTTCTCGAGGAGACAGGCCTAGAATTGAGTGGGGCCTGTGGGGGTGGGGCCAAGGAACTAGGGAGGGGCCTGCGAGAGGGAGAGTAGAGGATGTGGCTGGAGCGGAGGCCAAAACCCGGGAGCCGATTAGGGTGAGGGCGGGGCCAACAACGGGGCGGGGCCTATGGGGGTGGAGCCAGTGCCGGCACCTGCGCCCAGATGGGATCTGGCCGGCTGTGAGACCTGGGAGGAGGCCTTCGCTCAGCCGGGCGGCAGGTGTCAGGGGCCCCGCGGGCTAATCTCTGTCATCCACCGGGGCAAATCCAAAGATCTGCGGCCCAGGAGGGCCGACTCCTGCCCCCCACAACCCCTGGAACTCCCTGGACCCTCACAGGTGTTGTAGGCCTTCTTATGGGAGAGGATCTCCACCACCTCCTTCTTCCTGAAGGGCTCAGGCCCGGGCACTGGCTCTGGAACGGAAACTGATGGTTTAATGAGGGGAAGCTAGGCTGAGGGTGTCAGAGGGCCCAGGAGGGGTGTGGCCACACCCAACAGCCCAGATGCCCCCGACCATGGCCTTGACTGAATCAGCTCCAGGTGTCCACACTCCCCTTACTCCTCAGCCTGCTACGCATGGACTCTCGGATCCAGTCTAACACACTCAGCAGGCGTGGTATGTGTCCCTCCTCCCATCCTCTCTCCCCTGGGCCTTAGGACTGAGCTGGCCGAGTAAGGAGACCCAACCACCTCTCGACCTTTCAGATGCTTCCTGGATGGACACGGCCTCTCTCCTCCATCCCAGGACCACCTTCTACACGCAACATCCCTGGCTGCCTGGAGCTCCACCCAATATAGGGAGATACCCAGAGAGGGGCGAGGGGAGAGAGAGACTGGAAGGGATATTTGTGGATGCCTCCTGCCCACCTTATTCTCGCTGTGTGACTTTGAGCACATTACCCAGCCTCCCTGTGCTTCCTCATCAGGAAGCTGTGGTGATCACAGTTCCTACCTCAGAGTTGTCACAGGGTTAATTTAGAAACCAGGGTGTCCGGCATTTGGTTGGCATGCAATAAATGCCAGTTATTATTATTATCTCCATTTTGAGGTGGGGAAACTGAGGCTCTGAGAAGTTAAATGACTTAGGGACAAATGGCACTCAGTGCAGACCTCAGGGACCCTAAGCCCTGGGCTGTCATGGAGCATCTGGTGTCTGGATTCCCCCAGGGACCTCAGCTACTCACTAGCAGGTTTCTGGGTACCAAAGTGGAGCTCCAGGTCGAGGTATTTCACCATGTCGCTCAACTTGTCATAGTCAGAGTCCTCCCCGAGCTGCGAGGATGGAGGGGAGGTCAGAGTGAGGAGGAATGCTGGCAGCTGGACCGCCGTCCCCCACCCCCCATCCTCTAAGGGCTGCCCTGGGAGCTCCAGGAGGGAGAGCCCCCATCAGCCCCCGGGATAAACCCCGGGGCAGGAGGAGACTGCAGGAGAAGCGAAATCATCCAAGTTATCAGGTGGTGAGCTGGCTCCTCTTGTGGTCAACATCACACTTACACCTGGAACACTGCACGCAGAAGCCAGCAAGTTGCGCTGGGGCTGGGGATAAAGGGGCTGTAAGGGCCTGGAGCCAACCAAGGGGCTTAAGGAGGTGGCTGAGGGGTCTGGCCCTGTTTTGACGTGTCCTTTGCAGGGAGTGAGTTCACCAGAGCTGCCCTAGGTTCCTGATGCTGAGGGAACGGAAGCAGGGAAATGCCAGGGGCTAAAAGCTGGACAGGTGTCTGTGACGAATGGTCTGGATGAGAGGTGACATTCTGGAAGGGCCATATGCGGCTTGGACAGGGAGTGAGGATGGAGTGGTTGCCAAGAAGGAGATCCCAAAGGGAGGGCAGGCACAGAAACAAAGTCTCATAACATGGTGACATGGCAGGGACCTGGCACGGATGTGGACTTGGCTAGATGCATGACCTGTGTCCCTGTGTCCACCTTCAGTAACCAGTGGAAGGACCACTCTGCAGAGCAAGGCTTAAAGACCCAGCTGAGGCTGGTAGGAGTGAGGTCTCCAGGGGACTCAGCAGGTCCCTGTTTGTGGCTTTGTCCTGTTGAGCATTTTCATCAGCAACATAGAAAGGTTCCCTGGAGATGTGGGCTGACGCCAACTTGGCTGGGAAGGCAGGAGACAGAACCAGGACCCAGGAAATGGCAATGGGAAGAAATGAGAAGCATGCCCCAACAGAGAGTGGCTACATGTGAGGGCATGATATTGGTCCCAAGAAGATGAAGGGACTAGGGTTGAGGATGATGGTGGGCATAAGCACTGAGATGGGGCAGCCCCAGAAGCTGAAGGGATCCCAGGCTGTATTGAAAGGAGTATGATGGCCAATTCAAAGGAGGTGAGAATGGTGTTTTCTCCTCTGAGCTGGTTAAGTCCCATTGGGGGGTCTGTTTGAGACCCGCCCTTTGACAGAAACATGGCCACTGGACTATGAGGCTAAAAACCACATTCTAAGGGAATGACCTAAAGAACAGGGATGAGGTGAACTTTGCTCATCTGACAGGCTGGTCGGTGTGTGGATAAGAAAGTATTTTCTCTGCCTGATTTCAAAAGACAGGACAGAAAGCAGGGCATGGAATCTTAGGGAGACAAGATGTCAGAGAAATACAAGGAGGGCTGGTTAAAACTGTCCAGTGAGGAAAGGGACGCCTGGACAGATAGTGAGTTCCCCATCACTGAAGGCGTTCAAGTATATATTGGCAGTGTTGTTTGGGAAGAAATTCAAGCATCTAAGTGAAAGGGTAGAGGCTAGTGTGCAGGGGTTTGGACCAGCTGCCCTTTTAAGAATCCTTCAGTCTTGGCTCCTGTGAATGAACTGCTCATACTAGACTGTCCAACAGTTTGAGGGCCCGTGATTCTCTAACCAGATGTTCTTCTCTTGGCTCTAAGAGCCTAAGGGAACAAGTCAGATCTCAAGAGTGAGGTTCCTTTAGTGCCATTCCTGGGGGTCCCCATTGTGTCACTGGCTTAGGGACACAGACTGGGCTTCAAGGCGTGCATCGACTACCAAGGGTGGACATGTCCTTGGGCTGGGCCTCCATTCATCTTCTGTTCAGTGTGGGGAGGACGAGGGGACATTCCAGCTGATGATGGAAGAGGCCTGGAGATGGGTCTTGTCTTCAATGCTGCTGCCCCAGACTACCCTCCCCTGGTGCAGGGCACCCCTGGGCCCCGGGTCACCTACCTGACCCCAGATGGTGCCTTCCGAGTTCTCCACCTGCTCCCACCGCAGGCGCTTGACGCTCATATGGCTGGTCTCGCTGCGGCGGTGGCCCAGGCCCCGGGACAGCATGGGGGGTGCACAGGGCACGGGTGGGGGCAGGGGCGGCGGGGGTGGTGGAGGGACTGGGTGGCTGAGTTGGGTGAGGGGCTTTGCCAGCGCCTGAGTGGGGCCCCGGGGGGGGGGGGGGGGGGGGGAGCTGGGCTTGGGGGGGGGGGGGGGATGTGGTCAGAGATGGAGGAGTATGTCAGGGAGCTGCCTTCCTCACTGCTGCTGATGCATTCACTGGCGCTGCTCCGCTCGTTGGTTACAAAGCTGCCCTGGTCATCGTGGAAGCTCATCTGGTGGGGGCAGAGCAAGGCAGGGGGAGGGCCAGGCTGGGCCCAGGGAGACTGGAGCATGGGGCAAGGTGAGGGAGAGTGGGATAGCTTGGGGCAGGGGCTGGGATAGCCTGGGGACAAGGATAGGATAGTCTGGTGGGTTAGCCTGAGGCTGTGGGTGGGACGGCCTGACGGTGTGTAAGGTAGCCTGGGACAAGGAACGGGGTAACCTGAGACAGGGTATATGGGGTAGGCTTGGGTAAGTGGTCTCAGAGCTTGAGTCAAAGGATGAGATAGCTTGAGCCAGAGAGTGAGGCAGCCTGGGACAGACTCTAGGGTGGACTAGGGCAGGGAGAGGTGTAGCCTGGGGCAGATTCTAGGGTAGACAGGGGAAGAGTGGGGTAGCCTGGGGCAGTTTTTAGGATGGACTAGGGCAGGGAGTGGGGTAGCCTGGGACAGATTCTAGGTGGACAGGGGAAGAGTGGGGTAGCCTGGGGCAGTTTCTAGGATGGACTAGGGCAGGGAGAGGGGTAGCCTGGGGCAGATCCCAAGGGCAGCAGGCCTCTTGCAGGAGCCCGGGGACACTGTTCCCCTACAGAGCCCCATGTCATACTTGGCCCCCTCCCCCTCCACGTCTGCCTGCCTGCTCACCTCCTCATAGTCGTTCTCGGGGCTCAGGAAATCATCCACGATGGTGACCCGGGGGCCCAGCTGCTCACTCAGCACATCCAGGAAGCGGTCAGTATCCTGGCTTCGCACGGGGCGGGAGAAGGTGAAGAGCTTCCTGCGGCTAGGTGGGCGGGCAGGGTCCGGGCTGGGGGGGCTGTCAGAGCGCATGGGCCCAGGGCTGGGCTGCGGGGATGGCGCCCTGCTGCTGTCCAGGCTGGCGTAGGGGTGGGACTCAGAGCTGCTGGGGGAGGCTGGGCCCCCTGAGCACAGTGGGTAGTAGCAGGGGGAAGAGAGGAGCTGCTCACTGGGCCATGAGATGCTGGATGAGGTCCTGGGCCCTGGGGTGGGAGATGGAGCGTGAGGACCCCTCTTCGGTCAGTACCTGGGGCCCAGGTGCAGGCTGGAGGGGAGGGGCCCAGGTCAGGCTGGCTCTGTGTCCCTGAGCACCTTCTTTTCCCTCTCTGGACCCTGCGCAGGAAGACCTTGTGTGACCCTGCCTCCACAGGCTCTTCCCTGAGAGTGACGAAAGGCCAGAGTGCAGGGGGAGCCCTGCTTAGCCCCAGGACAGGCCAGACTCCAGCTCATCTTGGAAGGGACACAGGGATGTCCAAGGGTCATGAGGCACCTCCCACACCCAGCAGGCCCTTGGCTCACAGGAGCACTGCCCAGGGGTCCTGCCTTCTGAACTGCAGAGAAACCATCAAGTGTGTCCTGTGAGCAACCATCTTCCCAGCTGTGCCATTCACAGACCAACACGTGCACATAATAGTTTATCCAACAGCTCCATGCTAACTTGGGGACTCCTTTGGGGCAGCCGTCTGTTTTTCTAGATCCACAGTTGGGGTAAGGATCAGGGGGGACATACAAGGGGCCAGGACAACCCTGACCTTGACGGCCCCATGGAGGCTGCTTGGGTTTCCCACAACTCAGTCCTGTGGCCATGGAGCAAAGAGGGGGCTCCAGGTGTATGCCTGGAGGTGGGGGCAGCACCAGACAGCCAGCCAGGAGGACAGAGGCCAGTGCTGCCCTCAGGAGCCAGGGCTGGCTGAGCCCTCACCTGCTGTGCCTGCCGAGCTGGGTACTGGTGGGGAGGCACGGGATCTGGATGTGGTCCCCATCTTCCCTTTGAAGCTGCTGCTCAGTCGGGACTCAAGCTCCGCATAGACGGCTGACATCTGTGGGGAGGGGAGGCAGGAGTGGGTCCAGCCCGCTCTCACCTCCCCCACATGGTCCTAACATGTCTGAGAGGCTGGGCCTGGGTGGTCTGGGAGGCAGGGGTCTGCCCCAGCCCCATGGGCCACCCATTCCCAGCTCCCCACTGACACCACCAGGAGGGTAGAGAGAGGGTCTCACCATCTTGGGGTTGGGGGTCTCGGGGAGGGATGTGCCATCACCAGCCTGGCGCTCGCCTGGGATCAGAGGAAGAGGCATCTCGGGGCAGTCACTGGGACCTGTCAGGGAATCAGGAGGGCCAAGTCCGCCACAGCGAGGAGTCTAGTGACTGCTTCTGAGCTCTAAGGCTCAGGCCTCAGCCCGGACCCAGCGCAGAGCCTTGGAGAAAACCAGCAAGCCCTGCAGCCCCCAGGAGGGCCACCACTCAGCCCATTCCCAAGGATTTCTCATCTCACCAAGCCCACTTTGCAGGTGGGAAAATTGAGCCCTTGTGGCACTCTCCCACCCACTCCAGGCTTTGGGTCGATAGCCTTACCACAGCCGAGGCTGGCCTCCAGGCCCTGGGACCGGAGGCTGCGGCGGCACATGGAGGAGGCCCTGAGGGAACTCCGTGGCTGGGGCTCAGGCGCCGGCTCGGGTTCCGGCTCAGGCTCCAGGTCCAGCTCGGGCTCTGGCTCTGCTGTGGGACATGACAGGGAGATAGGCGCCTTGTCCTCTTAGCCAGACAAGGAGCCTCCAAACACAGGGATACAGGGAGGGTGAGGGCAGCAGCCATCTGCACCCATCTGTGACCCCCAGCCCTGCTTGGCTCCAGGACAGCTCTCAAGGGGAAGCCTGAGGTGAGAAACCCGGTGCCAGGAGCAGAGGGAGCACAGGGGTGGTGCTGGCCTGAGGCCAGAGGCCGGGTGGAGATGGCCACAGCCCACCCCACAGGGCCACTTCTCATGACAAGAGCTTAGGATCCTGTGATTCCAAGGTCTCAACACCCAGTCACTGCTGCCCACAGGGGCTTGCAGGGTGAAATGGAAGGTTCCAGGTCTAGGCAGATGTGTGGGACATCTGCTGCCCAGCCTGCACCCTGAGCTTCTTGCTAAAACCCTCAACCCTCTCCCAACAAACTGTGGGTCCCCAGGAGTAGGGACAGTGGGCACACAGGGGCCAGCACGTAGATCTGCAGACTGTGAATAGCGGCTGCAGAGTGCCTAGAACAAACACACAGGCTTGGCACGCTTTCGATTCCCAGGGCCTAGATGATGAAGCTCATGGTTTCGTATGCACACTGTAATGGGTGGCAGGAGCAGGAAGCTGAGGCTGCGTGTGGTCTGGCAGGCCCTTGTGTGTATCTGTGTGCAGCAGGGCCCACCAGACAGGTGTGACCTGGCTGGGTGCTCACAATCCGGGTCTGTAAACAGTGACCACATGAACTTCTTGATCTGTGTCACACTTTCCGGGGCGCAAAGCATAGCCACTGAGCTCACCCCCATTTTGTGGGTGAGAAACCAGAGACCCCAGGCATGGTACCAGCCTGGGTGTGTTGGACATGTATCTGCATGGCACATGGGCACATCTGTATGTTGGAGGGGCGGGTTGGCTGTAATACCTCACAGGCGAGAACAGGTGTGTGGCTCTTCACCTGGTGGGCTGGGCAGGGGAGGGGCGGCTTACCTGTCATGGCCGTGTAGCCCAGGAAGCATGCAATCTTCTCCTGGCAGAGCTCCTGCTCCTCGTAAGTCAGCAGCTGGTAGATGAACTGCCAGAGGACCTGCTTGGCAGGTGTGTCCAGCACAGGGTACACATCAACGATGAGAGTGTCGATGTTCCTGCAGGAGGGTGCAGGAGCAAGGGGCTCATCATAGGGGGTGGGGTGGGGGTGGACAAGGGGGGCACTTCCAGGCCACAGAATTTGGGCTCAGGCCCTGTCCCCACCCTCACAAGACAGAGAGGTGGGCAGAACGGCAGGCTGTGGAGACAGGCCACCCCAATTCAAATCCCGCCTCTCCCACTTACCAGCCAAGTGACATTTCTCAAGTTATTTAATTGCCCTGTGCCTCACTTTCCTCATCTGTAAAATGGGGATAAAAATAACATCTACCACACAGAGCTGTTGTGAAGATTAAAATACATACAGTGTATTGGGAAGGCTGACTCACTACATCAGGAATTGGCAAACAATGGCCTGTAGGCCAAAATCTGGCCCGCCACCTGTTTTTGTAGAGAAAGTTTTATTGGAACACGGCTGTGCCAATTTGTTCATATATTGTCTACGGCTGTTTTCAGGCTACCACAGCAGAGTTAGATAGTTTCAGCAGAGACTATATGGCCTGCAAAGCCCAAAATATTTACTATCTGGCCCTTCATAGAAATAGTTTGCTGATTCCTGCATTATGTGGACAAAACAAAACTGGACCCTCACATAACACCACATAAAGATGAAATCTAGGTGGATAAAAGACCAAAGTGTGAAAGGTAAAGTTACAAAATTAATAGAAAATAATGCAGGAGAATATCTTTTGACCTACAGGCAGGGAAGGACTTCTTAAACAAAAGTTTAAAGCCAAAGCCACGAGGCCCAAAATGTATTGGATTTGATTATATAAAATCAAGGATGTCTGTTCAAAGAAGCACAACTTGGACACATTCATATTAGATATAACAGAAGTAATAAAAGAAGTAACAAATGGGAGAAGATATTTACAATGTCCAAAATCAATAAGGTTTCAGTATCTAAAATATACAGGGATCTCCTGCAAATCAACAAAGACAAAAACCTCAATAAAACAAAAATGAACCAAGGGTCTGAACAGGTAATTTATAGAAAAGGAAACAGAAAAAGTTAATAAGGTTATGAAAAGATGTTTAAAATAATTAGTAGTTAAAAATCCAAATTAAAATAACAAGATGTCACTTTATGGCTAAAAAAGACTAGCAAAAATAAAAAGCTGGATAGTCCCAAATGTTGGCGAGGACATGGGAATGAGGGAGCCCAGGCGCCGCCGTTGGGAAACAGTGCTCTGGGAAGCAATTTGGCACCAGCTAGTCAAATTCAGTAAACAAAAATCTTAATATCCAGCAATTCTGCTCTTAGATATAAATTTCAAATGAACTGTACATAGCTCCACAGGGAAATGAGCACAACAACATTTGTCACAGTGTTACTGTGGAGGCGACCCAGTGTCCATCACCAGGAAGCTAAGTAGGTAAGACACGGTGGCTGTGATCCATGGGAGTTTGGCTGCAGTTATAAACAATGTATTAAATGTACACAGAGCAAAGTGGACAGATCTAAACACACAGCACTTGATGAAAAAAAGTCAGGTGCGGAATGCAATATATAGCACAATGATGTAAAATAAAAATACATCACAGGACATAGCAGTGCCTACTTTTCAAGGACACCTTTCAACAGAAGGATGCCCATCAAGCTCATCAGATTGGGATACTTGGCATAGGGAGGGAAATGGGAGAGGGAGGGAGACTGAAAGGGAAGGAAAGGGGGAAGCAGCCCAAGTGTCCATCAACTGGTGAACAGATAAGCAAACTGTGGTCGAGCCACACAATGAAATATTATTGGGCCATAAAAAAGGAATGAAGTAGATGCTATAACTTGGGTGAACTTTGAAAATATTATGCTAAGTGGAAAAAGCCAGACATAAACGTCCACATTTATGGAAATCTATAGAAAGTAGATTAGCGGTTGTGTAAGGTTGGGCGCAGCAGAGAAGGGAGGTGGGTGATATGAAAGGGTGCGGGTTTCTTTTTGATGTGACGAAAATGTTCTACAATTGAGCGTGGTGATGGTTGCACATATTTGAGAATATACTACAAACCAGTGCATTGTACACTTAAATGGCTGAATTGTATGGTACGTAAATTATATCCTAATAAAACTGTTTAAATAAAAAAAGAAAAAGGAATGAACAAGTGAGGGGCTTTGCACAGACCATGATAATGACCCTATGGACCAAGGAGTGTGATAAATACAGCCTGCTGTTGCTGCCATGGTGCAAAAACAAAGACACCAGACCACCCCCCAATCAGGGCCTGGCCGGTGGCGAGGGAGCATAGGCAAGGGTCTTATGAGGGTCCCACCAACAACGCTGCAGGTGGTCACTTATGCTTCACTCGCCTAGGTCACGTGGCCAGGAGGTTTCAGAGTCAGGGTTTGTTGTAGAGCAGCCCGACTGCCCCCCTTCCTGGGGCCCCTGGTTCCAACTGCTGCCTCCTTTGAGCCTCCCCCAGGAAAAGGGGGCTGAGGACGCTCAGGCAGGAAGACCCAGATGGTGAGTCTGGACAGGATTGGGGGCCCACCCGGGGCAGGTCCCCACCACCACTCTGGCCCAGCCACCTGTGTTGGAAGAAGCTCTCAAGGGCCCGGCAGACCCCGTAGCGCTCAGGAGGTGTGAGCAGGTGCTCCAGCTGCTGGCTGAAAGTCCTCCCCTGCACCCGGATGCTGGACGGCAGGATCTCCGCCACCCACTGGAGGGAGGTGAGTGCCGACGACGGGTTGGGGGAATCCAAAGAATCAGAGTCTGCCGGAGCCACAGGCATGAGAGGCACAGGTGACCCAGCGTCCCCAGGTCAGGTGCAATTTCCCTGGCAGCTGGGGGCAGGGGGCCTCCTGAGCTGGGGTGAGCACCACGCATTGGGAGGCACACGTGCTGCCTGCAGCTGGGGACAGGGATGAAGGGAAAGCCCCGGGCAGGGTCCCTGAGGCCACCTCATTGGGTGCTACGGCATCACCTGAGGAGGGAGGCTGCAGGTTTAGGGGAAAAGCAGAGTCATCTGCAGACTTGTAAATCCCACACATGGCAGGAAGCCAAGTGGCAGTGGGGGTCTCACCGCTGGCAAACGGGGCGAGGCCCTCCTCCACCACCAGTGTGGGCATTGCACCACTGCCCTGCAGCATGGACACCACCTTGTCATGGGAGCAGTTCCTGTCAAGAAGAGATGGCCCAGGAGGGCCTGACCAGGATGAGCCCTGTCCACTGCCACCCGCCAGACCTCCCTGTCCTGCCCATAGAGGCCACACAGCTAGACCACAGCAGGGCCAGGAGCAGAAGCCAAGGTCCTGCCTCTCCTGCTCACTAATCTTCACAGAAGAAGCTTCAAACCCAGGGCCAGCTGGACACTTCTGGGTACAGAAGGGGTCATGCCCATGTCACCCCTAGGAAGGGCTCCCCCTTAAGAGCAAGACACAGAGGGTCTACCCCACTCTGTGTCCCCAACGTGGAGCTGGGGTGTTTTCTCATTGGAAGGATGAATTGACATCCTGGCTAGGATGGGAGGATAGATTCAACAGTTTCCACAGGAAGAGGGCCAGACCCTGGGAACCAACTGGTCAGAGGAGACCAGGACCATGGCCTGGGTGTCCCAAGAGGCAGAAATCTTGGGGGACAGTTCGTCACCAAGCTCTGATCTCCCCAATAGCCTCTGACCTCATGTCCAGTCCGTTAAGGAAGAGAATCCGGTCGCCCGACTTGAGGGAAGCATTATCAGCCGGGCTCCCTGGAAGCAAGAAGAGAGGGCATGCTAGTGAGCTGGGCAGGGCTAGCCCCGCTCTGCGAGCCTGATGCCACTCTCCTGTTTCACAGGTGGGAAATGGGATGGGTGGCAGAGGAGAGCCAAATTCAGGTCAGCAGTCCTCACATTAGACCCAGCACCTCTCTGCCCTCGCTGCTCTAAGCAGGAAGTGATCCCCTGGATGGGTGGGAATGCTGGGGGTTCATTCCTTCCTGCAAAAACCACAAGAAAGTCAGCCCTGAGCTGTTGGAGAAGAGCAGAAATGAGGAACGTCTCGAGAGCAGTGTGTCTGCAGCATCTGCCCACCTGCTGAGGACCCCACTCCATACACTGTCCTCGGCCCTGCAGATAAAGGCCCACGTCGTAGATTCCTCTGTGCCTTTGTCACCAGGAGAAAATGCATCTCCTTAGAGGGAGGCAGTGTCCTCCCTCAGGCTGGGAAACATGGTGTATTAGTCATGTTTTTTATGCTCTGACATCTTGGGGCCTTGCTGACGCTGGAAGGACTGTCCCTCCCAGGGTTAGCCACTGCCTAGAGAGACTAAATGACAGGTCTGCAAGCGCGAGTTTCACACGCAAATCAACCCCCTCCACTATGGGGCTCTCACCGCCTGGGCCACTGTTCCCTTGCCCTCATCACCCGGGGCCAGGCACCAGACAACTAGGGACAGCCCCTCTGCCCCAGAGCCCTCTGAACTTATTCAAACTAACCATTCTAAACCTGCTTAGCCGGCTCACCCTGCCTTGCTCATTCCTTCCTGCAAAAACCACAAGAAAGGCTCTTGTCCAGGTTTTCCCCTCACTCCCTCTGCCTCCTGACCAACCCTGGTGCTTCCCCACGTGGCCCTGTGTGGCGTGGGTACCCCCTCTTCTTGGGAACTGTGAGTAACAAACTGTCTTTTGCGTGGCAATCATCCCCTGATCTGCTGGCCTCACCATACCCGAATAATAAAATCTGCATTTTAAACTCATGGGAGCAGCTAATTTTCACTCTTTGCCTTGACGGCCTTGAAGGTCAGACCTAACCCCGTATGTAATACCCGGGGAAGGGGGTGCTAGGAAGTTTGCTCCTGTGGGTATAGATTTTTTTCTCTTTCTGCCTCTTTTGCTAGTCATCACTCTAAATTGGATTTGGAAGTAAGTGGGGGGAAATGATACATATCCAAATAAAATATGCTCTCAGGTTGTGAGAAGTTCTCTCTTGAGGCTGTGGGGATTTTCAGGAAGGAAGGGGAATGATCAGGGAAGACTTCCTGGGGGTGAGGGGGGACTGAACAGGGAGGGAGGGTCATGGTTGTGACGAAGCCAACTGGGCCTGCCTGGAGGCTTGGGCCAGCCTGGGGTGGGAGGGCAGAGGGGTTGGGGCAGGGGATTAGAGATCATTGGTCAGGAGTCAGGAGACCCTAGGTTCTGGTCCTTGATTTGCCAAGCCTCTCTAGGCCTCAGTTTCCCCATCTGGAAAAGCTCCCATTGGAGCATCCATTTGGCTTCTGATGACAAGGAAGGAGTGGGGTTGCTGGCCTGGAGGCCAGGTTGGGGAGAATAGCACTCCTGGATTCTAACATGGCCCTAGGCCAGGTATCTCTGGCTACACATGTGGGAGAGGTGGGGAGGCGGGGTGGTGATGGCAGCACAGTTGAAGTGACACATCCCAAAAGGAGAGAGTAATCATTTCTAAAGGAAGCTCCCTAGAGGGCAGCCTTGGGCCTTTTCCCTACAATAGTGTGTCACTCCAGTTTAGTGATGCACAAATCCAAGAACTGGACAACATCCGTCATCAGGATTAGGTCTCAGAATGATCCCATGGCTGGAACGATGAGGCAAAGGCACTGAGGCACTTTCCCAGGGATCACAAATCCATGCACCGGAGATGTGAGACGCAGAAGGGTAGACAGGACTCAGCACCGGCAGGGGCACCCATGGGGGTGTGTCTCCAGGACCATCATGCTTAGGTGCTGGCAGGGGATGGGTGCAGGTGACCCAGCCCTGCGGGGTGTTACAGGGAGGGGAGAGTTCAATTCTGCACCAGGAGACATTTCTGCCCCACGGAGACCTGCTACAATGGAGTGGGCTGCCTCAGCAAGGAATGAGTTTCTTCCCTCCACCCCCTCACTCCCACTGGAGGGGTGGGAAGGAGGAATTCCTGCACTGAGAACGCTCTGCCTTCGTCAAGATGCCACCATTCCAGGAGCAAGAAGGGGCAGGCTGGGTGGGAGGAGGAGGGGAGTGAGGGTTGGAGGGGGGGGCTGGATAATGGGCAGAGGCCCTGAGGCCCTGCTGCCTCTATGAGCCTGGCCCGCCCAGCAAGTGCCCAGTTCACAGTGGACACTTGGCACGGGGAATGTTGTTTGGGGGACAGCCTGGGTAGGCGCCAGCTTTGTCCCGGCTGTCCCAGTGTCCTGGGAAGTGCCCCCAGCCCTCCCTGTGGACATAGAAAAGGCTTGGATGGAGAACTTGGCACACAGGGCTCAGAGGTGACCCTGAACTTGGAGGGCGTTTGCCCCAACTGGGGCAGATGGAGGATTTGGATCTGCTGCTCTGGACACTCAGAGGACACAGGCTCATGAGGTTGGTACCTAGGGGGGAGGGGGTTATTGAGCAGCGGCCTAACAGGCTTCACCACCAACCCATCCTGGACAACCGCCCACCCCTCACCAGGAAGGACAGACTCGATCCAGACAGGCCCATGGCCGCGCAGCGTGAAGCCGAAGCTCTTGTTGCCCTTGTAGACTCGGACCGTCCTGGGGAGAAAGAAGGGGCCGGGTGGGAGGCGGGCAGCGTGCCCTGCCCTGGGGAGAGGAGGGCTGGGTGCGCAGGAGAGAGTTGTCCCGTGTCCCGCTCCCCTTAACCTCGTCTGCCCCCAGCCCTGAGACGTCCACGCCCCGCCTCCGTCTGTACTCTGTCCAGGTCTCCAGCCCCGAGCCCACCGACCGGGAGGCGTCCGCTGCCGTGCCCGCACGCCCGGGGTACCTGCGCGCGCCCCCCGGGCCGGCGCGGCCGCCCAGCAGCGAGGCGGCCTTGCGCGGGGGCGCCTCGTCGGGGCGGCGCGGGGCGGCGCTGGCGCGCGTGGACACCAGGAGGCGCTCGGGCCGTTCCTCGCTGCGGCTCCGGCGCAGCCGCTGCGCGCCCTGCCCCCGCCGAGCGCGGCACAGCTTGCCCAGCAGACCCTGCGACACCACTTCGTCGAAGCGCGCCCGGTGCTTCTTGGGGATGAAGATCCTGTCGGCGAAGACGGCAGAGTCGGGGTGCGCCCCCTGACTGCGTCCCGATCGCGGCAAACTGCGGCCCAAAGGCGCCTCCTCGTGGGCTCCGCCCTTGGCTCTCCCGCGCCTACCCAGGGATGGCGGAGGAATCAGCAGCCCGCACCCCAGTCTCCCCCTCAGCGCCTAGACTTGCGCCCCAACCAGCCCAGGCCACACAAGGACCATGGCGCCCCGCTCGAGAGAGATACGTTTCGACCGTCCCCATTACTCTGCCCTTGGGAGGCCTGAGTGCCCCCAAAGCCGGTCCCGTTCCTCCACCTGCCTCTATCCTCCATCTGTGGCCTCCCCCCACGCCACTCATCTCATATTCTTGCACCAGGCCAAGGCCCAGCCAGGGATCCCCACCACCCACCCTCTCCCGGCCTGATTCCTGGCAACTCTGCTGGAGAAAACTGAAGCCACAATCCACCCAGTCAGACTTCCCCCAGACCCTCCTGACACTCCCAGGCTTCCTGCTTCTCTGGCCAGCCCTCTCTACAGCTGCCTACTCGGGATGGGCCAGGACCACCACGTCCAGTCCCACCTCCACGCTTTCCCAGGCTGTGGCCCTGTCCAGTACACTCTCTGCTTCCTTAGCTAAACTGAGCTCCCCCTTCAACACCCAACATTGGCCTTCCTTGGGTTTAGTCCTACATGTTTTAGGAAGTCCCTGCTATCTGTGCCAGCCAGGCCCTGGGCTTCAAAGCTGAAGGCACTGTGGTTCCTGCTTTCAAAGGAGTCACCCTGGAAGAGGGTGACTGAAAGGCAGGGGGGCTCGCATGGTCCCCTGTGCCAGGTCCACACCCCGGATGATTCCTTGATAGCTGTGGGTCTCCTCTGTGATGCTGGAAGCTCTCTGAGGGCTGAATCTGTAGCTCAGCTTGGAGCCACAGTGAGCAGCCAGGGCTTGATACATGGGAGGGACTCAGTGACTCAGTAAATGGGTCTACTGCCAGTGGCCCAACCATATCTCTGAGTAATGGCAGCAGTTATCATCGTGTTGGACTCCCCAGTCCATGGCAGAGGATCTGGCAGAGGCTCACAGAGGATCTGTAACTTTTCAGGGTTACACCGCTGGCCCTTGGCACAGCTGGGATAGAAGCCCAGCCGCTGGGCCTCAGCACTGTGGCAGGGCTCTGCTAAGGGCCCCTGAAGTTCTGGTTGATAGCAAGGCCTCCCTGGCTGCATCCCAAGGCTCCCTTCCCTGTTCTCTGTACTAGGAGCCAGCGCCAACGGCACGGTGGGGAGGCGGGGAGGGGAGCAGTGGCCTTGCAGCCAGCTGAAATTCAACCCCTCTGATGTTGCCCAGTGGTCACCACTCAGTTCCCCCTGACCTCTGTGGGTAGGATTAATAAGGCCAGGCAGGCAGAATAAGCTGCCTGGTGGAAAGGAAGGGATATGGATCCTCGGTGAGGGGGGTGCATCGGGCCCTGCCCCCCAGTGAGCTCTGCTCCAGGCGACCATGAGGCCAGAATGACTGGCCTGCTCAACTCTGCCAGGAGCATCCTAGCCTGATATGCTCATCCTTGCCCACCTGCAGTGATTCCCAAAAATCTAGAGCCTCAGCCTCATTCCCCAGATGGTCACTCAAGGTCTCCGGAGCCTGACACCTCCATCTGCCTGGCCTGCACATTCCCCATACCCTTCTGGACCCACCACATGCCTCATGCTCAGGCAAGGGAGGGATGACAAGCCGGAAACTGTCCACTTCATACTTTGGGCTCCAGCCCTAGGCTCCAGAAGGCGTCAGCCCCTCACCCCCAGCCCCTGGGTCCAACTTGGGCAGGGGCCAGGTGACCATCCCAGCTCCACCCCCCAGCAGCAATTAGCAAAAGTCTTGCGCCCCCCTCCCCAGGGTGTGAATGAGGGTAAGTCACCAACTGCACAGGTGGGAGAAGATGGGGTGGCCCTTTCCGTGCTTGGCATCCTTAGGGCTGAGCCAGACGCCCTTCCTGGCTCCATGCAGCTCTGTCTGGCAGCCCAGCCCTGGGTCTGCTAACCCAGCCCAGCCAGGCGCAGTGGGGCCTCATGGACCATTGAGGGGACCACTGCCCCTCTGATCCTGTCAGCCTGGCTGTGGCTGCCCCAGGACTCCCAGATCCCTGCTATGCCAACAGGCTTCTCTGAGGCCATAGGACTCTTCCGGGACCACATAATGACGTTGCACTCAGGGTCAGTTCTGTTCTCTCTGCCTGGGGGTCAGGTCTAAATCCATCTCCAGATTCCCACCAGGGGCTGCCCGAGGGTCCTCTCTCTCCACCAAATTCCCTGCCTCAGCTCTCTGTCCAGTTCTCTCAGCCGGCCCAGTAGCCCAGTCATAGTAAGGAAAGAGGGCTTTTCAATCCCAGCCCTTGGTCCTTGACCCTCATCCCGACCCCTAGGGCCACGCGCGGGACTGGGCGCCCAAAGCCGGGAACTCGCCCCCTTGTCCCCTTCCGGTTATGTCCACCATCCCAGCCCCGGGGCCCCAGCCACGCTCGGTGGTTGCCCACCCAGGGCAGGGAAGCCCCTCAGTGACCCAGCCCCACCCCTTTTCAGGTCGGCCGGAGGCGGGTCCGCGGCGCCCAGGGCGCACAGTTCCTGGGGGCGCGGGGCGTGGTGGGGAAACTACCGAAAGTGCCGAGAGAAGCCCTGGTCCTTCCCCATCTGGAGCCGGCGACCGCGGCGCGGCAGGTGCGGGCGAGCAGGGGATGGCGGAGCCCACGAGCGGAACAACGGCACGGCGACTCCACGCGCCTCTGCCGGGCGAGCGCGCGCGGCCCCTCCCGAGCCGGCCCGGCCCACGGCCCCGCGCCCGCCCCTTCTCGGGTGGCCCCGCCCCGCCGGGCCCCGCCCCGCCGGGGAACACTTCGGCTAGCTCCGGGGGAGCTGGGGGCGGTTCAAGGCTGTCATGCAGCCTTCTCTTGGTCCCCTCCATTAGCCCCTCCCCAGGCGCCTCGCCTCCGACCTTTTGGGCCGCGGCTCCCCAGTGCCCCGCACAGGGGCGAGTCCCCAACGTCTGGCTGCAGCGAAACTGAACCCGACAGTTCGAGAAAGCCCCGACTGCCTTTTGTAGAGCATGGGAAGGCTTTCCGGAGGTGCTGGGCCTCCAGAGCTCAGCAAGAGTGGGCCAGGGAGAGGCAGTCCTCCTACTTACCCGGGGGGAAGCACCAACGGAGAAGAGGCTAGAGAGGGAGGTCTTGAATGCCATCTTCGGCAGCTGAGACTGCACTCTGAGAACATTGGGGAGCCATGGGAGGGTCTAAGGATTTAAGGGGAGGTAGAGGGACCCCAGAGGTTTTGGTACATCAGGGGAGAGGTGATGCTGGGAAGGGAGCGGGGAAGGGATGGGACAAATGGCTAGATTCTAAGAACACAAAGGAAGGAGAGTGTGTGAGATCTGGTGAGTGAGTGGAAGTGAGGAGGGGGCAGCCACACCAGGGCAACTCCCAGATGAGTGTGTGCGTGGGGGGGGTAGTAGAAGGCCTCCCTGAGATGGGCATGTCCTACTGGGAGGGAGGAGGGGAAGAACAGCTAAGGGGAAGAGAGAGAGAGAACAGGAAAGGGGTCTGGACTCTTCCTCTGACTCTGGGCCTGCCACTCCCTGGAAGTCAGAGCAGGAGCAGACCCCAGGGATCCCAGGCCATTGCCATTTCTCACTGATCCGAGTCCCGACCACAGGCCAGAAAGGGTGGTTAGATGCCGGGGAGCCAGCCCAGGGCATCCTGGAGAGGGCTTCTCAGGGGCAACCTCAATGCGGGACATCAGCACAAGGCTCTCTCCTCGCCAGAGGGTGGCCACCCCCCAGACAGGCTGGAACCACAGAGGCAGGAAATCCCAGGGACTGTGCCTCTGTCTCAGTCATTGGGAGGAACATCCTACATGGTCCTGCCTGCGGGTTCCTGCAGCCCGTCACAGGGTGGCCCTTCCAGACCTGACGTCCAGTCTCTGGTACCCTGTTCAGACCATGCTGACCAACACACCTCAGCCCCATGTTCTTGGCCCCATGAGGCCACCCCCCTGCTGTGATCAATCAGGGCTGCATTTCTCCCTGGCAGCAGCAGCAGCAGAAAGCCAGAGCCAGTGACCATGCTGGGTCCTCCCCAGACCTTGTCCTCCCCCTGCCAGGGAGAGAAATGTCTGAAAACGCTCACAGTGAGCACAGCTCCCTGACATCCACAGGGCCACAGCCGTTCATAATAGAGCCATTTCTGGTTGTTTTGTACCAGCTGCAGTGGCCCAGCATCCAGAACCAGGCCTGCCCGAAGGCTATGGAGACTGTCCACGTTGCTGTGGGCAGAGGAGATGTGAGCACAGAGCAAATGCTCAAGCTCAAATCCAGACAAAGCCAGAAGTGCACACATTGCCTTGGGGCCAGGTCCCCTGAGTGCAGTGAAGGCGCCAAAGGGGCCAGCAGCTGGTGCATCTGGCCAGATGACCCAAGGCAGCAGGGGTGGGTGGGGAGGTGCAGGGGTCAGGCAACAGCTGGCCTTTGCTCAAGTGTCTGCCCAGCAGGAGCGTGCTACCAAAGGCAGATCATTCTGGGGCATTAGCTCTCAACTGGGGCGATTTTGCACCCAGGGGACATTTGGCATTGTCTGGAGACAGTTTTGGTTGTCACAAAATGACAAGTGGGAGGGGGGTGTGCTACTGGCATCTAGTGGGTGGAGGCCAGGATGCTGCTAAACATCCTACAACGTACAGGACAGTCCCCAACAGCAGAGAATTATGGGGGCCAAAATGTCAATAGTGCCGTGGTTGAGAAACCTCTCTAGGGACCTCAAGAAAGAGACCTTCCCGAGGGGAAACCCACACTAACTGTGCACATACTCTGCCTGGCGCTTGCACCTACATAGTGTCACAGAATTCTCTCAATATCTGTGTATTATGGTGTCCCCAACACTTGTCATTAAAGCAGAAGAGGATGAAGAAGGTGCAGATGACCCCTCACGTCCTACTTCCAGATTCTCAACTAATCTCTTTTTGGCTTGCAGTTGGCAGAGTTCATTTATGTGGTTTCCTACCAAGAATCCTGCTGGGAACATGTAGGGATTACCAACCCCTTTTTACAGATAAACTGTAGGGGTCAATTAACCTGCTCAAGGTCACTCAGCTAGTGAGTGGACTTGGGGTTCAAGCTAGGTCTGTTGGGATTCCATATTCCAGCTTCTTCCACCACTTCCGTTGCTTCCCTCCCCAGTGCCGCCCCATCCCCCCCCCCCGCCCCTCCCCGTTTTGCATATTTCCTGAAACACCAGCAGACCACAAAACTGACTTTGCTCTCCTGTTCCCTCCTAATCACGTCACACTTTCCAAAATGCCTGGCTTGTCCTAATTAGAAAGTCATTTTACCACTTCATCAAGTGGGGATCCCTTTGAGGATAGACCCAAATTAGGCTCTGAGCCTCAGGATTAACTGCCGGTCATGAAGGAAGACGAGACCCTTTGCTTTCATTGTTGCCACTGACCCAAATCTCCCCCCACGGCAGCGCTGTCCAAGAGAACTTTCTGCAGTGATGCACATGTTCTCGATGTGTGCTGTCCCAGCCACATGTGGCTACTGAGCACTTGAACTGTGGCTAGTGAGACTGGAAAGCTGAATTTAAATTTTATTTAATATTTAGTAAATTTAAATAGCAACACCTGGCTAGTGGCTACTGTACTAGATGGCACAGCTTCATGGTCTCACTGCCTCTTCCTCTTTCTCCTCAAGCCTTCTGTTTTGGCCACTGGGACCATCCCTCAGAGGCCACACAGTGATTTTCGTGGGTTCCAGCCTTGTCAAGTGCACACAGACAAGCGCAGACACACACACATGCACACACACACATGCACACATACATAATATATGTTCACTAACCCTTTGGCTGCTCAACTTCTCATTTAAATCTTATCTCTCCTCAGTGGCGGGGGGCCGAGGGCCGCAGCTGTAGCTCTTCCTGGCCCCTCCTCTCAGGCAGGGTGGTTCATAGCTGGGCATTGCTGGGTACCCAGTGTTGGGTACCCGTGGGTCTGGGTGGCACTGCCTTCACCTTGGCACTCAGGGGTCCACCTCTGTGGCTAGATGCCTGGCCCCGATGAACTTTCCCTGGAGACTGTCTTCCCACCCCCACTGGACACACCAACAAACTCCACCAGTCACTGTCTGAGCCACAGCGCTGCCACCTTCTGCCTCCTCTGAGGAGCCTGCCCTGATTGCCCCCTGCTGAGCTAGCCCTCAGCTGGCACTCAGCCCTCGGAATCAGAGATAGCTGTGTCTGTGACTCCTCCATGCCTGCTCTGAGCTCTCCGGGGGAGGTGCTGCCTGAGGATCACCACCGCATCCCTAGAACCCAGCACGTGAACCACCGGAGCGTGGGGGTGGGGGTGGGGAGGTGAGGGGATGCCAGGTGGCTGAAGCCAGGCTGCCAGGGTACCCCTCTCCCTGCAGAGCCCAGCTGGGCGCCGCCCCCTCCTCCAGCAGCCTCCCCAATTTTCCTGCCGCACTTGACACGCGCTGACAACAGAGGCTGCTGTTTCATCCTCCCCAGCAGCGCCCCGGGGATGCTGCGGGGACCGGGCATCCCCAAGTGCCTGGGGTTCGCCCTTTCCAGGCTCTAAATCGAGCACGCCCAAAGGGGTGCCTCCTCCACTCTGGCTCTTCCTGACCCGCCGCCGGTCGCTTGGAGACGAGCTGCAGACGGGAAAGGCAGATGTGGGGGCTGTCCCGGGAGGCAGACAGGCTGGCCGGGCAAAGGAAGCCGGGGCGGAAGCCGGGGCAGCACCGACAGGAGATGAGGGGGACCGGGAGGGCCTCCAGCTGAGTCTAGCTGCTAGCAGCCTCGAGACACGCGTGCCAACTTCCCAGGGGACAGCCCGGGCCGCCCGCGCCCCTGGCCCGGCCCTGGTGGAGAGGGGCGGGGTGGGGGGCTGCCTATCCATCACCTCCCCAGGGAGCCCTCAGCGCCAGCACAGCATCTCCACTGCAAATTTGGCTCCAGAAATAACTTTTTCTTTTTTTCTCTCCGGATTTTCCCCTCAAGGGGCAGACCCCTAACTCACCCCAGGCAGCTCATGGTGGCCTCTTTCGGTGGCCTTCTGTGCTCGGCGGCAGAGCCGAGACGCTGCGCCGGGTTGGGGAGTGGGGGTGGCCAGCCCAGTCCCTGACATTGGCCAGGCCCAGAGGGAGGGGCAGGCTTCGGGGTGAATGGCAGCGAGGGGAGGGGGCGGGCTGAGCCCAGGAAGGGGGAGGGGCGAGATGGGGAGCAGTCTCAGGCCGGGGAGGCAGGGAGGGGAGAGAAAGCCCCGCAGGATCTGCAGGGAACGCATCACTCAGTCCCAGAGGGGGCTTGACCGAAGCTGTGCAGTGCAGGGCAGTGACGCCCCGGCAGGAAAGGGGGGGTGTTCGGGAGATTCCCCAGCCATTCCAGGTGTGGACCCACCAGGAGATTTTTTTTTCTGAAGAATAAACTTAGAGGGTCCGAAGCTGAGCAGAAGAGCAGAAAGTGCACAGCTGACCCGGCTCCTGTTCTTGTGACTGCCACTCATTTGCTGTGTGACTTTGGGCCAGGCTCTTAACCTCTCTGAGCCTCAGTCTGCTTCTGTGAAAGGAGGATAATAATAGCACTGGGGGGATTTAGCCAGACAGTGTTCCTCCAGGGCCCTGGTGAGATCCTTGGCACACAGGTGGCATAGTCAAAGGGCAGAGAGCACGCACTGTCAGTCGGATGGGAGTATTGGGGTGGACACGGCACAACCCTAGGCTTCCTTGCCTTCACATTGTGCCATTGCTCCGTCTCCATAAGGACTAGGAGTATCTCGGTATCCCGTTGGAGATTTCTACAATCTGGGTTTTGGGATAGAGCAGGGCAGGCTGTGACTTCAGATCAGGAGGTGGGTCCTCTCTGCAGCCCGTCCCAGCCCAGCAGTTAGCAGCCCTCTTCTTCTCACCCAAAGTGATGCCCTGGCACCTGGCAGAGCCAACAGCCGCCCTTCCCAGGGTCACTGGCCCACCCCTGTTCCAGGGCTGACAGAGTGTTGGGGTCCAGTTCAGGAGCAGTCCGCGCAGCAGTAGTGCCTGAGGTGGCAGTGGGAGAGTGGACACCCCTGAGCGAGACACGCTCTGCCTGCCCATCCCGCCCCAACTGAGGTACCTGAGGTTGTCCAGAAGTGGCCCACGGGCCTCGCGGGGCAGCTCCAGGGTGAGCGCCCACACCAGGTTGTCCACCCGCTGCTCGGCCGCGAACTGCTTCAGTGCAGCGAACACCTGCTCCTTGGCAGCCGGCTGGTCCCCCAAGATTTCGTCCACCTGCAAGGAAGTGTCTAGTGAATGACCACAAGGGACCCGGGGCAGGGCACCAGGGAATCACTCACCTTCCCTCCGCAGGTTAGCTGACGTGGGAGCACTGCATGAGCCTGGCTGTGAGCTCTTTACCCAAATCCCACCATTTCAAACCTCAGCACCCCTGTGACCTGGGCATGGTCAGTATCTCCATTTTACGTCTAAGGAACCTGAGGCTGACAGTGGGGAAGTGACTTGCCCAAGGTCATGGGGTCAGGACTCAAACCCAGAAACAGCCCTTGTGTTACGAATTCTTACGATATTCGTAGTGAATATCGTAAGAACCAAAGGAATCAATGCAAGAGCTTAAACATGTACCAGGCGCTCAATAATTGCTAGTTACTATTATTAGAATACTATACTCCCTTCCACTACACTGTTTGCCAAGAGATCCTACAGAGAACATTCTGGCTCCACAAAAGAGCCCTGGAGTGCACACCCAGCCCTGAATTTTGAGTCCCTCAATGCTCCCTAAGGACTTTTGTTTTCTTCGTCTTTGTGTTCAGCCGATAGTAATCAAAGTGCATCCACTCAGAGGGGTCTGTGAGGCCGACGGAAATGGGCATGTGCATAGGCACCAAGCTTCTGGAGGGCAGCTTGGTAAGTGTGGCTAAAACCTAAAAGGGTGCCCATCCTTTTACCCAGTGATCTCCATCTCAGAATGTATCCTAGACTTGTCCTGACACATGAAATGAGTGCATGATGATATATGAGTGAAGAGGCTCACCTCTGCATTGTTTATAATACTGAGATGTTGGAAGCAATGTAAATATCTGACAATATGGGCTAAATAATTGTAGCACATCCATTGGAGGGATAGTTGTAGTTTCTTGGCTATCAGCCAAGAGGGGAGGAAACCCCAAACTAGGTGGGAGGCAAGACCCTGGTGATTACTTTGTAGCTTTGGCCGGTTGGGGGCTCCTGCCCAGGGTTTTGGCTCTTGAAGGAATGATGCAGAGATGCGGGGACGGCAGAGTTTGTTCAGGGCAGTGGCAGAGCCCCCTAGAACACTCTGAGCAGACCCTCCCTGAAGAATGCTTTATGACAGCTATACTCCTGGTTGCCGATTCTTTCTTGGTTCTAAGCCTGGTTCTCCAGTGCTGATTCTGTGAACCGTCCCTCCCACAGATTCCTTTCCTGCCTAAGTTAGCAGAGCCAACTTCTGTTGTTTTGTAGCCGTTCACTCCGTACTCTGCAATGCTGGATATCGTTGATTCTAGGGTGAGCATTTTTTTAATATTTTATCATTGCTGAGATCAGGATGTGTCTTATGGGTAACTGCAATTCCTGTGCATATGTGAATTTGGTTATAGGTGTTCAAATTGTTACTTCCACTGAGTTGTGTGCATTGGCTGGTATTAAATATGTCCAAATAAGTCTAAAAGTCCTCTTTCAATAACTACTAAGTTAAATGCCAAGAAGGTGATGAGGAAGCATGTGTCACGGGTTAATTGGCACAGATTTTTCTTTCTTAGCAGTAGATAAAACAATGATGCATCTTGCAATTGATGATGTTTTGGATTTGATGCAATGTAATGCTATTTGGCCAGTGAGAATGATGCTGTCAATCTTTATTTAAAACCATAAAATGGGGAGTAATGCCTAAGGGGTGTGCGGTTTCTTTTTGGGGTGATTAAAATGTTCTAAAATTGACTGTGGTGATGGTTGAACAACTCTGTGAATATACTAAAAATCATTGAATTGTACACTTTAAATGAGTCAACTGTATGCCGTGTGAATTAGATCTCAATAAAGCTGTTATAAAATACACGGGAAAGTGTTTGTAATAAACAGTCAAGTGTAAAAAGAAGGTTATCAAATGGAATACACAGCATTATATTTTTATTATATATGATTACACATACATTTGTGCATAGGAAATACGCATTAAGTTTTATAGTGATTTGGATTTTTTTTTTTTTTTTAATAATTCAGTGGTTTCCTTTTTTTCCTACCATGAGCTTATATGATTTATACACTCAGGAAAAGGAATGCACATTATCGTTGTTCCTTTTTTCCTTTATTTTTTACTGTGGCAAGAATGCACATAAGATAAAATTTACCACTGTAAGCATCTTAATGTGTACAATTCAGTGGCATTAAGTACATTCAGATTGTTATGTAACCATCACCACTATCTAGTTCCAGAACGTTTTCATCACCCCAAACAGAAACCCCATAACCATTAAGCAGTCACTCCCCAGTCCCCTCTTCCCCAGCCCCCGGCAACCACTCATCTACTTTTCTGTCTCTATGGATTTGCTTATATTGGATAGTTCATATGAATGGAATAATACAATATGCAGGCTTTTGTGTCCGGCGTGACTTTTTTCATGCAGTGGTTAACTGTTGTCTATCCACACTCCAGGAGAGGCCTTCCTTGTTGGTTGAGGGTCTGGGGGTGTCTCCGGGCACTGACATCCTGAGCTGACCCTGAAGCAGAGCGGGGAGGCTGGGTGGCTGAGTGAGTGTGTGAGTTTGCCATGCATCTCTCTCGGGGCATGCAGGTGCTACTTCAGACAGAACCAGAGCTGTTCCCCTTTCACCTTCCCTCCGCCTCCAGACTTCTCAACACACTGCCTCCTTCCCCTCCACCCTCCACTCTCAGAGGATGAAGAGCCCTCTTCCTGGTCAAGGCCAACCCACCAGGCCGCAGATACCCCACCACCTCCCATCCCCACCCTCTCATCCTGACACCTACTTGTCGCTCAGCTCTCAGGTCTTGAAAGTCACCTCCTCGGGGAGCCTTTCCTGAGGTTGTCCATGTGGCCTCATCACTGAACCTGTCCATGTGGCCCCCATCACTCTCTCATCTCCCCTGTTTATTTCTTCATTTTGCTGATCATTATCTGAAATAGCTTGTTGATTGATTTGTCCACTTCCTCCTTGTCTCTTTCCCCACAGGAATGTCAGCCGCATGAGAGCAGACTGCCTGTCCTGCCTGTCCTGTTCACAGCTGTTTCCCCAGTCCTTGCACATCCTAGGTCCCTGATTGATAACTGCTAAATGCATGGATGTCAGTGTCTCTACTGCCTCCTTCCCTTCAGCCTATGTAAATGTGCAAGTCTTTCCCAACCTATAAATAAATAAGTAAATAAAGTCCTCCTTACCCCACAACCCAATCATCCTCTTATTTTTTCTGGCCCAGAGCTGTCTACTCTTGCTATTTCCATACATCTGCCCTTACCCACTACGGTCCGCCCCTACTTGCAGCACTCCGTGACAGGGCTCCGGCCAAGGACCCCAAATGGTGACTCCTACATCTTGATCTTCAGCTCAGAGCTTGCTCCTGAACTTCAGAACTGTGTATCCAACTGCTTCCTAGATGGTTGTGCCAAGGGGTTAAGAAAGGCTTTCCCGAGGTGGTGACCCCATAGAAGCAGGGGGCTTTGAGGACATCCAGTCAGAGGCCACTCTCTGTGCACTTCTGAGTCCTAGCGCATGCACACCACCAGTCCGTGTTACTGTCTGTCTCCTCCATCAGATATGGTGGCCTGGGACCCAGTCCTGAGGTCTTACTCCTGTCCAGCCCCCAGCACAGGGGCTGGCACATACTAGGCACTCAGTGAAGGTTTATGGAACCAAACCAAAAGGCCGCAAGTGGCTGGCAGTTCTCTCGGTGCATTTCCTGCAGTTCCCCTGCTGACCTCTGTTTCCCCCGTGGTGAGTAGGGCAGGCAGCAGCAGCAGGCACCCCCTCCTCGTGCACCCACCACACCGAGGAAGGTCAGTGGTTCTGAAATCAAAGTCAGCTGCAGCCTCGACTCAAAGGAGAACATGGCTAGCTGGAAAGACGCTTTATGTAAGAAAGGAAAAAATAGTTGCTCCCTCCTGGGGCCTGTGCCACAGTGCAGTTTTGGTGTCAGCTATTACCCAGATGCTCTCAACCTACATCGAAGCATGAGGCACCATCTTGGGACACTAATGGATTTTCTATTAAATATCCGATTCTTCAAGGAGGAAAAACTGGGGCAGGGAGAGTGCTGGTGAGAACCTGGGAGCTGATTGTTGAAAACCAACGGGGGGGCTCCACTTATGCCGTTGATCTTCCTGAGGCAGTCTTTTTTTGGGATTTGCTTTCAGCTTTTGGAGGTGTTTGGTGAGCTCTAACCAGAATCCACCACTTCCCACTCTCCCTTGCCAGAAAATACACCACAGCTGGCCTGGGTAGCCGGTCACATTCCCCTCTTGGCTAGTTGTCACCTTGGCCCTGCTTCCTGGCCAGGTCTGCGTGTCCACCCTGCCGTTCTGAGGGCTCTGACCATGCTCCTTCTGACTCTCCAGGGATTGGATGGAGTCTGGAAGAGGGCTTTGGTTCCATAGCAGGTCATCTGAGATTATAGCAGACACTACTAGTTGTTATGGTCTGAATGTTTGTGTCCCCCCTAAATTCCTATGTTGAAAACCTGATGTCCAATATGATGGAATTAGGAGGTAGGGCCTCTGGGAGGTGATTAGGTCATGAGAGAGGGGCCCTCATGAATGGGATTACTGCCCTTGTGAAAGAGACCCCAGAGAGCTCCCTTGCCCCTTCAGCCATGTGAGGACACAACTAGAAGTCTGCAAACTGTGGTGTGTGCAAAGGCACCGAGGTGTTTGATATTTGTTATAACAGCAGAGCCTATTCCAGGGATAGACAGAAAGTCACATCTTTTGAAGAGCTGGACACTGGTGAACTAGGGAGGTCAGAGCTGAATCCTGTGTGTATGTGTGAGTGACTGCATGTACCTGGCCCCAGAGGCCGGCCTGCTCAGCAGCATGGGGCTGAAAGGTTCAAGCTGGGGTCTTGTGCAGACAAGGGTCATGCCAGGGTGCATGGTGGAGGTGAGGCTCTGGAAAGGGAGTCAGTTTAGAAGGAGTGAGGACTAGAGCAAGCTTGGGCGCTGGAGGAGGCCAGGTAGGTGGGGATCTGATACCTGGGCAGCAGGCTGGGAGCCATTTCTGCAATAGCCAAACTCCAGCAGGACTTCCCAGCCCCCTAACCACCCAAATCCCCTGGCCAAGCCCTGCCAAGAGCAAGACTGAGCAGTGCCCCTTCCATGGACGACAAGGAAGGGTGTCTGTGATCTCAAATGTCCCAGTCACCAAGCAGATACTGAATTTCTAGGATGTTTGACTTGGCATCCACATGGGGCCTGAGCCCTAGGCAAAGAGAAGCAAGCGTCTGGGCTCCAGGCTATTTTCCGGCTCCCACACTCTGCTCGAGTCTCAGCCAAATGAGACCCGCCCCGACGTGCCCCGCCCCGACGTTACCGCCCACGCGAGCCCCGCCCCGACTGCCCCGCCCATGCTCCGCCCACAGGAGTCCCTCTCCGCCCCGCGCCCTACCTTGCGGCTGAACTCCTGGGCCTTGCGCCTGCGTTCTCGGTGCACGGCGCCGGGGCGCTTGCGGCCGGCCAGGCGAAGCAGCTCGCGGCCCAGCGAGAGGCCGCGGCCGGAGCGCAGGGGCCGCAGGGCCGTGATCGGGGGCATGGGGCCGGATCCTGCAACAGGGCCGCCGTTGGGGCCCGGGAGCACGCCCAGGCTGGGTGGCACACGCGGGCAGCGCCGGGCCAGGCGCACGAGGCGCTCGCGGCTCAGGCCCCCCACCGCCAGCCCCTCCACCTCCAGGATCTGGTCCCCGGGCCGCAGCCCCCCCGCGTGCGCGCTGCTCCCTTCGGCCACCTCTAGGACGAAGCAGGGGCCCGAGCCGCCCAGGCGGAAGCCGAAGTCCTCAGGCCAGCCCTGGTTGGTGGCCGACATGGCAGCAGTGCCGGTGCTGCTGGAGAGGGCGAGAGACCGCACAGGGGCTTCCTTGTGGCCCTGTTTGCAGGGCCGCATGCCGCTCAAAGGCCATGTGCCAGTAAGGGCCTCTACTTCTCTCTGCCTCCATGTGGAGGGTCAGTTCTTACAATATTATCTGAACTCCTGGATCCAGCTGTGCCTGAAATTCACCAACTTCCATGTGACAAGAGAACTTTCCAATGACATGAGCTCACAAATTCCTACTGAGTTTTGCGGGTATTTGCCCTTTGAGTTGTAACACTCTCCTTGACCTCCTTGGGGAAGCATGGTGTGGCTGATTTGGGGTTTCTGGGCTCCTGGCTCTAGGACAGGCTCGTGGGGGAGGTGCCTCTGTCCTCTAAAAGAGGCCAATTGTGTGGGCTGATGAGGTGGGCTGGAGGCGAGGGGAGGATGACAGTTCTGGATGGAACAGTCTGTGTGTGTGTTTCTATGTCTGTTTAGAGCAGGGATTCCTTACAAGAGTCCGTGGATGGCCTCTGAAATTGTAGGCAATATATGGTGTGAAGGCTTAGTTTTCTTGGGAAGAGTCCATACTTCTTAGGACTTCCTGACCCTGGCTTAGAAGAACCTTAGAGGGCTGGATTTTGAAGGCCCTGGTCTGGGGTGTCCCTCAGCCCTCATCAGATGCTTGGAGACCGGCGCCCATAGGAGTCATCCTCCAATTGGCTCCCTTTCCCAGGAACTGGCCTCTCCCAGGAGGGCTGAGGAACACTTCTTGGACCTGGGGAGTTGGGGTAGAGGGGAGACCCAGGGTTCCATAGCATTGTGGACTAAGAGGAAATGTCCCTGAGTGACATCTGGTGAGAACCTGTGTCACCTGGCCACCAGAGGGCATGGTGTGAGAGCTCCTCATACTGGGTGGAAGCTGTCACATCCTGAGGCTGGCAGGCTAACTCCTGGACCCACCCCAGGGGCCCTCGTCCTCCTCTGCCAGGCAGTGGTGCTGACCACTGGGCATGGAGCCCCAGGGACACTTCTTCTGTCACTTGGTGGCAGCACCAGACTCCTGGGTCCACTGGGCCCAGATGGGGTGGGGACATCACCATATCTTGGAGGGGCTTGTACCATGAGAGAAGCAGTCAGCTCCACCACCATCAAAGGGGGACTGGCTGGAAGCTGAATTTGGGGCCAGGGCACATGCTCCCCCTCCACATGCATACCTATTTGACCAGCACACCTGTGGCAGGGCTGCCTGGCAGAGGCCAGAGCAGGCAACTCCTAGCACCTCTACAGCCAACCTGGACAGGCCACAGGCCAAAAGAGGGTGCCAGCAATTGGACTCCCCTGGGCTTTTGAACCATGTCAAGCCCTCCAGTGCATCCCTAGCCCTGCAGACCGACCCCTGCCCTCTCCCACCCACCACCCAGAGCTCCCAGTCTGGGCCACTCTCTCCTGTCTCACCTTCACCTGGAAACAGGAACCCAGGCTCCTGACAAGGCTGAATGGGCTATCTCAGTGCCTGAGAGGGAGGTGTCCCAGGGCCCCCCATCCCAGAATATTAGGTGCTGCGACACCCGCACCCCAGGTTTGCTTACCTTCCTCACTGGTGACTACAGCGGCTGCTGTGACAGAGCACAGTGCTTGTGGAATGCCTGGGGACACTTGCTCGCTGCTGGCCCTCTGCTGCTTAGGGCCTTGTCATCGGTTACTGATGCGCCTGAGCTGACAGCTGGAGTTTCTAAGGCAAAGTGATCCTCTGAGTAATCTGAGAAGGCCCCAGTTACCAGGTAGACCAGCAGGATGACTGGACAGCTTGGCCGGGTCCCAGAGTGGCCAGCCCCTGTTGCGTGGTCCTAGGGGGTGAGCAAGGCTCCTCAGGCAGGAGTGAAGGCTGACTGGAGCTGGGCCTCGGGCCTCATCCACCCATGAGGTCATAGAGCTTAGCAGGTGGGTTGAGAGGGTTCAATTGGGTTGTTTTGGAGTGGGGAGTGTCACTCAGTCCAGTGATGGGAAAGGGGACCAATGAGACTCATTAGGGCATGGGATCCAGTCCCCACAGAGAATACCACTGTCGGAGCCCCACAGGCCAGGTTTATTGGCAGAAGAAGGGAAGACCCAGGCCAGGGAAAAAGGTTTGGACAGGAGAAAAGGTGCTGACCTAAGTAATTTTGGAAATGAGTGGAGTCTGTAAAACTAAAGGCAGAGCCAGCCCGGATGGCCTAGTGGTTCAAGTTTGATACGCTCTGCTTTGGCAGCCCAGGTTTGGTTTCTGGGCGCGAAACCACACCACTCGTCTGTCAGTAGCCACGCTGTGGCAGTGGCTCACCTGGAAAAACTAGAAGGACTCACAGCTAAAATATACAACTATGTACTGGGGCTTTGGGGAGGAAAAAAAACAAAAAGAGGAAGATTGGCAACAGATGTTAGCTCAGGGAGAATCATTCCGAGCGAAAAACAAAACAAAACGAAAACCTAATCACTGCCTTAAATATACTTTCTTTTTTTTTAATTCTTATTTTATTGAGGTCATAATAGTTTATAACATTGTGAAGTTTCAGGTGTACATTATTGTTTATCAGTCACCATATATACGTGCCCCTTTACTCCTTTTGCCCACCTCCCAACCCCTTCCCCGCTGGTAACCACTAATCTGTTCTCTTTGTCCATGTGTTTGTTTATCTTCCACATATGAGTGAAATCATGTGGTGTTTGTCCTTCTCTGACTGGCTTATCTCACTTAACATAATACCCTCAAGTTCCATCCATGTTGTTGCAAATGGCATGATTTTGTCTTTTTTATGGCTGAGTAGTATTCCATTGTATACTATATATATAGATATATACTACATCTTTTTTATCCACTCATCAGTCGATGGACACTTGGGTTGCTTCCATGTCTTGGTTATAGTGAATAGTGCTGCAATGAACATAGGGGATAGGGGATTAAAAACAACAACAACAAAAAACTAAAGGCAAAAGGAATTGCACATAGCGCTGTACTCTAGTTGGTAAAGTTGTTTCCCCTGGAGGTACGGGTTAACAATTCTGAAATCACACTCTACATGCATACTGGAATTGAACAATTAAGTAAATGGGTTGTGGAAGCCAGGTTTCTCTCTGTTGGAGTGGGAAGTTATAGACAAGCAAAGGGGGAAAGCTAGAATGATCCATGTGGTACTGGGTTAGAGTTGGGGACATCAGTGTGAACTTATGTTTAGCTTACTAGAGCTGCAGATGGATACACGTAGGAATACTATAGATATGTGAATATACTTAGGTTGGTATATGCACTATATTTGCTTGCTCTGTCAGCTGAGAGGGTCTGGAAGCAAGGACATCCCAGCAGCAACGAGCACATCCAACGTCAGATCTTGATTTCTAATATCGCACCCCAATAAAAGGAGCCTGGGCTCCTTGGAGAAATGACTGATTCTAAGGCTGGGGCAGGAAATATACTAGATGAGCCTGGAGCGTCTTCTAGTGCCAGAGAGTAAGGAAGTGCTACACACACACACACACACACACACACACACACGATGGGGTTTGTCAAAGGGACACAGGAGCCAACTGAAAGTGCTTCCTGTGGCCGATGCTGGAACAATCTGAGCAACAGTAAATAACATAGTATTGACTTATGACCCAAAGTACAATCAAATAAATATCCATAAGTCCAAACTGATATAAACAGATGATTTATTAAATAAATAAATGGAGGAAAGAGACAAATCTCTCGTGCAGAAGAATTCCAAATAATTTACGTAGCTACTTCTCCTTAAGGAGGTGGAGCGTTAACACCCCACCTGTAAGTGTGGGCTACGCATAGTGACTTCCTTCCAAAGGGGACAGTATGAAGGGGTGGGGGAGAGAGTAACTTTATAGTGGAGAAACCTGATGAACACTACGTCTGTCAGGTGGTCAGGGTCAACAGCAACAGGGGTAAATCAGGTTCATAGCATGTACCCCCTATTTGATGTGATGAGAAAGTCACTTTGCTTCTGTGGCCTTCCTCCCCCAAACCCGTAACCGGTCTAACCATGAGAAAAACATCAGGCAAGCCCAAATCGAGGGACATTCTGAAAATGCCTGACTCTTCAAAACTGTCAAGGTCATCAAAAACAAGGAAAGTCTGAGAGACCGTCACACATCGGAGGATCCTACGGAGACCTGACGATTAGATGTGGTGTGGGATCCTGGGACAGAGAAAGGACATTAGGTAACAACTGAGGGAATCTGAATTAGCTAACAATAACGGATCCATATTAGTTCGTTAGTTGTGACAAACGCACCCTAGTAATGTGAGATGTTAGAAATAGGGGACATTGGGTGTGGGGTAAGAGGGAGCTCTGTACTATCTTTGCAACTTTTCTGCAAATCTAAAACTATTCTAAAATTAAACGTTTATTTTTAAATCCTCTTCTCGAGATTTGGGGGATGGTGATCAGATAGCCTGGAAGATATTCTTAATAGGTCACCATGATTGAGCTGGATGTTTTCCGGGGTTTGCTTTACCCAAAGGTGCTCTCCAAGTTTCTGTGTGTGAGATAGATGTGTCTATATTGTTCTCTAGTCTCACGTACATTATAAACTCTGCTAGGGAGCTTACAGTATATCCCCAGTGAAAAAAAAAATAACCATGAGAGAACCAGAGAGTCCCCAGAGCATGGTAGATGAGTGACCAATGTTGTAATAGAGCACATCTTTGAGCACAGCTCTAAATGCTTAGCAGGCTGCATAATTGTTGTGCTGCATGGTAATTAGACATGAGCCGTGGCAGCCACATGGATGACTTTACTTGGCATGCTGTTTTGTCTTCTTGCATTAACAAACTGGTGTTTCTCTAGATGGTAAGAAATGGTCACCTGACATTCCTGACAGGAATGTAAAATCACACAGCCATTATCTTAAAAAGCTAAACATTCACTTATCACATGACCCATCCATCCCACTTCTAGGTATTTACCCAAGAGAAATGAAAGCATCTATGTCCACACAAAGCCTTGGTCATGAATGTTTATAGCAGCACTATTCACAACAGCCAACAACTGGAAACAATCTAAATATCCTTCTATTGACGAATGGATAAACGATTGTGGTAC